ACAAAATACGATATTTATTTGTTAAGTATCAAAATTGAACCAATCTTTAGGTCTATATCTGTTTATGTTCTTTTTTAAACTGTCTACTAAGAACTACAAACTAATTTTTAATTGGGCATTGATTATTTTCCTACTACTTGAAATAATTCTTTACATATGGGTATTAACTCTACTTTTTATATATTAGAGAGAGGATACTTTTTGAGATTTGACATGCTAAATTTAATTGTTTTATTTTTAATGTAATTACATATATGAATCATTTCTTTTAACCCTTGCTACTTTTGTTTGTCTTTCCCCCAAGTCCATCAGCTATTCAGGCACATTCTTCTCTAGTATATTTATTACTAAAATTTTACATTCATTATTTGTAATGGTATTTAAATATAACATTCTTCTGAGCATTCTATTCTCTTCCAGGTATTTGTCTATTTTACCAACATCATACTATTTTTTAACTAATTTAGCATTACAAATTTTTCATTATTCTTCTTTCTATAAACATTTTTTGGCTCTTATTTTTTCTATAAAAATAAAATTCAGAATCACTGACCTGTGAAAAATTACCACTGAGATTTTGATTAAAATTATATTAAACTTACAAATAAATATAAAAAGATTGAAACTAATTGTCTTCATATCTAGAAACACCAAGTTTCCCATCCTTGCAGTAAAGTTTAATAGTTTCCTACATGCCATTCATATTTCTTACAAAGTTTAATCTTTGGCATAGTTTTTGTTGCTACTATGAATGGGCTTCCTTTTTTCTCATATTTTTGGACTGGCTATTATTACTATATAGCTTATATTACATTATTTATGATGGAACCTTGCTACCCTAAATTAGTTTCAGTTGATTGTCTTGGGGATTGCTATTATATTATCTACAAAAAACTTTATTCTTTCCAATAGTTCTCTCAGTCCTTTTTCTTTTCTTAATATACTAGCTTGATATTTCATAGCTATTTTAGACAGTAGTGATGACAGCTGGTTATGTTGCTAATTTTAATAATTCAACATTATTAGTATTTTGGCTATTGACAACTTGATCTCAATTTGTTTAAAAAATTATAGATACTTCCCATAAAACATTACCAGTAGATATCTCTAAATAGTGAGATAATGAGTGACTTTTATTTTCCTTCACATTTTGCCAGTAAACGGATTATTTAGGTTTTCCAAATCTGCCTTTATACTTTTTAAAATTCACATTTTGATTTATTATTTTTTTTTAAGAAAATTCATCCCTTTGACTAAGACTCTCACACACATGTGGGAAAGTGTCACAATATCTACAAAAGTATTAGTTTTTTATCTACAGAGAACTACAGTTACATCCCATAATTTCTATTTTTTTTATTATTAGCCACAAACTGTTTCAACTTATTTTCCAAGTTTCCTAAAATGAATGAATACACATATCCTTACCTTCTTATTTCTTTTAAAGTTCCTTGCTTATGGATAACATTTTTTAAATTAAATTTATTGGGGTGACATTGGTTCGTAAAATTATATAGGCTTCAAGTGTATATTTCTATAATACATCATCTATATATTGCATTGTGTGTTCAACACCCAGATGGAGAATATTTTTAACTGCAAATAATCTTGGTTAGCAATCAGTATCTTGCAGAAGGCAAGAGAAAAAGCAAACCCTAAAAAAAGCTTTCTCTTTAGAAAAAACATTCTACTGCCCTTTGTAAAAGACAGCATATCTAAAAATAATGTCTGGATACAAATTTCTCAAACTTACTCTGCTAATAAAAATGATATCTCAACTTTTTATTAAAATACTTTTGTTTTTAAGACTACAGTACAAGATGCCATAAAATAAGCAATTTGATATTAGGGAATTCATAACACTCCCAGATCAGCACTCCATGAATCAATAGTCTTGATTCAGGGTTCCAGATTCCAATACTCTTAAGGATTGCATTTAACAAATGTATGTGGTAATGTCTTCAAATCCTCATCAAACCCTGTTTCCTTCATTTTCATTAAGTAATCATTATATTGAACCTATTTGACATGTGAAATAATGAGTTTGAGATGTATTATCAAAAGGTGTCAACTTCAAATGTAAATAGCCAAATTTTCATTTTTACTCTACCAGGGAAGTTTCAAAATGCTAAAAAATTGCAAACTGCTACTCATCTTCTAAAAAAAGAAATGAAATAATTAGGTCACAACAGATAGCTCCTTTCTTGGAGGAAAAAAAAAAAAAGATGAAAAATGCAACCAAAATGTTTATTGTCCCTGAAATTCTTTAGGCCTAAAATCCAGGTACGAGTCTTGATGCAGGTTACTATGACAACTTAAATTACAGAAAATGTTCCCTTTCTACCAAGCTGTTTTCTCCACAAGATCATTTCAAGCCTCCTAAAATGTGTGTGCCTGAACTACCTGTCACAACAATAAATATCTCTTTACCAGTTTTATGCAGAAATGACCCCATCTAAACCCTGAAAACCAAGGATAAGCATATAAAAAATAAATTCCCTTAGGTCTCCATGGGACAGAAAACCTGACCTGATCTTTCTCTATTTCTCTTTCCCTCCCTCCCTCCCTCTCTCTCTCTCTCTCTCTCTCTCTCTCACACACACACACACATTCACACACCTTAAAATATAAAATGTTGCGAGTGTTCTGAAACTACTCCCCATTACCAGAGGCACAGTATATTACCACCATATGCTTGATCACAAAAACTATAGGAAATAACTTGCAAGGCAGTTTGAAAGGCGAGTATAGAGCTAAATCCTGTTTATCATTATTTTCCCCTCACTAATGGTTTTTTACAGGAAGGCACTAGAAAACAGGGGTGGGGAAGACTGCAGTCCTACTTTTCTTTTTACTTCAAAAAGAAAGAGATGCAAATAAATAATATGTAAAATCTTATTTTGTTTTACCTAATCTGTCTTTTTTTAGAGAAAATATGGTATTTAAAGTTTGCTCTCACACTGTTGCAAATTTACGAATGTAACAAAGATGCCTCGTGATAAAGTGTGAATTATTCTCTGTCATCATTCTCTAAAAGAATAATGGCTAGAAAAAAACTGTATCATTATGGAGAAAATATGATTTAATAGAGATAATCTGATTGGAAGGCACTAAAAATTTAAAGTAGTCCCATGAAAAAAAAATTAAGGTAGTTTTACAGTATAGCAATACTGAGAATTTAAAGCTGGTTTTGTTGCTCATCAAAGTTAACATGACTAAAATTAGATGCTTCTTTTGGAAAGGCTGAGAGAAGTCACATACCTTCGTCCTATGAGTAAACCAAGTTACTTCAGTAACCAGAATAGGCAAAAATGTTTTATAAATTTCATATATAGCTATATCCAGAAGCCCTTCATTTATGTAAAACAAACGAAACACCATTAAAAAATGGAAACAAAGCAGTATGCTATAGGAGCCTCTTTGCCCTTAAAGTCAAACAAAAATCAAAGGCATTTAATTTTTTGCATATTGAGCATATTGAGAAGAAACAGCAAAAATTGAAAACTCTTCAGCAGCAAACTCCAAGTAACTCATACATCTACCTGTATTAGTGGATAACTACAAGTTTTCCAAGAGAAATAAAATAATTAAATTGCTCAAACCCAAATGTACACAATCCCTCAACATTAAACTTGAATTACAGTTCCTTTTTGGTGTAACTTACACATAAATCCTACTAAACAGAAAATAATTCATGTATAAAAAAATGTACAGAATAGCTTCATCAGTGATGGAAGCTAAAACTACAATTTAAGTGACTATCTAATCATGGAGAGAACTTCAGCAGTTGAGCTACACAATAGATTTTTTTTTTCTTATGCTTTTCTTCTTTAGACTGTATTACAACTATGCAGGGCATTACAAATAGCAGGGCCCAACTATAATAGTTCAGCTCTCACGTGGATATAACAAAACTGCTTTATGATTTATTACAATCAGACTATCATTTACTCTCAACACTTGTGGCCTTCTAGTTGTAGTTTTTGCTAATCCACAAGCAAGATAGCAGAGTCCATAGGAGAACTGAACCAATGAGAATATGGATTTGTGCTTTTGGGAGTCCATTCCTTCCACATAGTCTAGTAATTACTAGAAGGCTCTATGGTTACACTTTTTTATTTCAAGGGGAAATTAATTTATGTGAGACCTTTGAAATCCATCATCTAGCCAAAAATGCAAGCCTATAACTTTTGCAAGTGAGGCACTAAAAAATTTATGAGACAGCACACTGGTTGGTGCCCTTAAAGAGTTTATTCACCTGTAAAACGTGAACAGTTTATTCAAAAGTGATTTACTTACTACAAACAAGGTCAAATTATTTTCCCTCCTGGGACCAATAAGTCATTTTAATGTTCAAGACACAAGAGATGATACACGTCAAGCATACAAAAAGCAAGTGGTAAATAATTCAGTTGTATATTCTCACCTCTAGGGATTTTGTGCACCCCCCCCCTTTTACTTAATGGAGTCAATTACTGACACTACTAAAGAGATGAAAGCTCAAACTATAAGACATGTTTCAGACTTATCAAGATCTTCTAGCCTCTCACTGTTAGAAATACACAGGTCTCTGCTTTAAACGAGGCTGACCATTTAAAGCATTAGTAGGACAGTGCTCAGGAAACACAAGAGGTGATACACCAATTTGCAAAATTTTGCTTCAGACTTCAAATTTGAAACCCTAAACATGTTTCATGAAGCTAGTAGTGTCAACCCAAATTTGAACCTAGGATTTACATTACAGTGGCAAAAGGTGCCACCACAAACCACACTTAGACTTATCTAAATAAAGGGCTTACTTAACAAACGATGACTCTTAAGAGTTCACCAGTGAACACAATCTGGTCTCCCAAACGTTGAAAATCAATCAATCTATCTATCTATCTATCTATCTATCTATCTATCTATCTATCTATCTATCTATCTATCTATCTATTTAAAGTCACTGCAAGCAATATTCTTCTAGACTGTACTTAACAAGTACAAATTCACAGACTCACCTTGCTGTGCTGGCGTCCCCAGGTGGGAGGAGTGTGAGGTAGTCTTGAGGAAGGGTAGAGCACCAGGCAGGTATTCTAGGAGGAGATACACAGGCAACCTGAAAAGGTACACAGTGTTCTTTACAGGCCTGGCTAATTTTTATCTTAAAAACGCTAAGTTACCCCATTTTAACTTATAATCATTAAAAAGCAAAATACACAAGCTTTCAGCTTCAAACAGTTTTCCCAAGAATTTTTTATCCCCTTTCCAACCCTCCCCTTTAGTTGAATTGCAGTACTTGTGGGGTGGGTTTGTTTGGTTTGGTTTCAATTCATATTTTTGTGCCTTTGAAAAAGGAATTTCAGTTGTTTCTTTAAAAAGGTCATTTGATGGGCCTGTGGTGTTCTAGGAAAGGCTTTGTGCCTTCTTTTCCTCCTGACCAAAGCTCCCTGCAACACCACAATCATTTCTTGAAAGCAGTTTAGCAGTTAGACATTTGGAAAATTGCCTAAAGCCAGGGCCTAAAAATGAAGTTGGAGGAGAGAGCTCAGGTTTTCAGTCCTAAAAAATAAAAACAAAAACATGCCACGCTTTTCCTTGGTGAGTACAAACTACAACCATTGGCTAACCTAAGAAAGAGGGTAACTTGGCACCAGTTCTTTGGACCCATTCTATTGCCTAATGCTGTGAGAATGTGAAACTCTGCCATGACAGGAGTTACAAAGAAAGTCTAAGAAAGAAATCTTGGCTACAAGATGAGAATTGACGCAATTCTTATGTCTGCTGCATTCAGACTATGCCCTTAACAGATGTTTCTGCATTTATTTATAGGAAGGTTTGCTTTAGTAACAAGACCATCTTCTGTCAACCATTTTTTTAACATACTAAGAAACTGAAATATTTTTATTATGTAGAGAAAATGCCACCAACAAAGTTACAATCAAATTCTTAGTTATGAAATACGAAATATCAAATTAGAAATTATGTAAGGAGAAAGAGATGGTGGACCCCAAATCTGATGCAAGCTATCAGAAAATACATAAATTTCAAACACAACTGAGGAAGGGGAAGTTAGTCTCCCCTTCCATAGCTGGGTTCTCCCTGCTCAGCAACTATACCTCTGAATGGAGACATTGTCTCCCAATCTGGTTATTAGACTAACACTTCATGTAACTTAATAGTTGTTATAAAAATGCCTTTCGTTTCCAGATTATTTTTTACATAGTGTTATAGCTACAGTGCAAAGGTTCATTAGTGCATGCTTCCAAGTTTTAAAAGAAAAAGAGGGTAGCAGTCACATAAATTTTTTTTTTTTAATGAAATCGAATAGGCTTTAGGCCAACTAGATATCACAGAATTGCTGTTTCGTCCTCTTATATCTGATGGGTTAGGGCCTTCTGGCTTCAACCATTTATCTCCTAAAGATAGAGGAAAGACACACATTTGAGGCTGATGTGCTTTAGTAAAACGGCCTGACCATGAAGCACGATATCATCCAAAAAGCAATGAAGGGGCAACCCTGCTGGGAGAAAGGACTAAGTGGGAGGTGAATTCAGAAAGGCAAGAGAAGAGGCTACACAGACTGATCACCCTAATTCCTACCCTTTGGCCGAGAAGCTACCTGGGGTCCAGCCTGGTTGGCAAAGGGATTCTTATTTAAATCAAAATCTCTTCCTACCCATGTTTTCTCCTTTAAAGACTCATCTCTTTTTAGTTTTGTTTTCAAGAAAATCTTTTGGAAGTAGGAAGTGGGCAGTTGAGAAAGTGTTTCTAAAATTGACATAATCATTATCTTCTTTGTTCATTCAATAAAGTTATTATTACCAGAGCCAGATGCTTAAAGGCCAAGATTATGATGCTTATTCCCTCATATATAATTCAAAATTATACTAACTTACATATGAGTATATGCTGGCATGAAAATCTCTCTTTAGTTTTTATAATTGTAAAATTCTGGATGAGGCAGGGCTCTTTGGGATGGAATGGAAAGTGCCCTAGTCCCACTGGTGTTCTGGGAATGTGCTTGAGATGCCTGTGGGAAATGGCAAACATGACAAGAAGTGAGTGACTCAGGCTCTTGTACACCTACCCTCACCTCTCTAGTCCTTGTGAGGCCTCAACTGTCTCCCGTGCCTGGCCCCACCAACTTTCCGTGTTAACCAAACTCCAACTCTCCCTCCACGAGATGACCCACATGTCTCACGTCTCCCAGGAACCTTCCCTCATCCAAACCGATCGCTCCAGGCATTGCCAAGGGGCTGCCTAACAATTCGCACTGCCCTGCTTCCTAAATCCTCACAACCCTATGAGGTAGGTAAGCTGTGATAAGGGAATAATCAGAAAAGAAAATAAAAAAATAGAAAGGTTAAATAACTGGTCCAAGGTCACAGAGCTATTAAATAGGAGCCAGGAATTGAACTCGGGCCAATGGACGTCAGAGCCCACGACCTTAAACAACAAACCTCACCGTTTCCAATATGTGAATATTTAGCATAACTCATATTGAAATGTTTGACTTTGAGGGCAGAGACATTTTGCACTGACACCTGTATTTACAGTGCCCAGCATATAGGAGGTGCTCAATAAATGCCCATTGAGGGCATGATGAATTCAGGGAGTTTTACAGAATGGCAGTGGTTGTTCAGTGGTGCTAAGCTTATCATCAGTGAAATCTGTGCTAGCTAAATGATTCCTTTTACCTAGATATAATTCTCCTATGACCATATGTCTGAAAAACATATCTATTACATAAATAAATGAAATGGACCAATAATTAATATATACCAATATGTGAAATTTGAGGTAAAAGGGACAAAAATTAGAAATCTCTATACTTAAATATAATAATTACATTATTTTTGATAAAATTAAAAGTAAGTTTATTTGAACATTTACTGGACACTTCTAAACATGTGCTGAAGATTAGGCATTCTCCTATTTTGGTAGCCAGCCTCCAAGACCGCCTCCCAAGAATTTTGCCTCCTGGTCTTCATAGCCTTGTGTATTCTCCTCCCACAATGAGTAGGGCTAACTTGCATAGCCCGTAGGATACCATGGAAATGACATATGGACTTTCAGGCTAGGTCATAAAAGACAACGCAGCTTCCATCCTGCTCTCTCTGATCATTTACTCATGTTGCAGAGACGCTCAAGCAACCCTATGAAGAGGTTCACGGGGTGAGGACCTGAGGCCTCCTGCCAACAGCCAGTTCAGATCTGCCAGGCCTCTGAGGGAACCACCTCGGAAGCTGATATTCGGTGGCAGTCAAGCCTTCATACAGATTACTTACAACATGGAATAACACCTGGATGATAACCTTGTTAAAGATCCCGAGCCACAGCCACCCACCTAGGACATTCCTGGACTCCAGATCCAAAGAAACTAGGTGAGATAAAAAACGTTTATTGTTTTAAGTCCCTAGGTTCCAGGCAATTTATTATGCAGCAACAGATAACTAATGTATCTATTATCACCTACACAGTCTTTATTCAGTTTATAAGAATGCAAATAGAAGTTACTAATGTAAATGAACACAATAACAGGTTATTACAATTCCTATACATACTGAACACAAGCAAAACAGAATGAAAAGAATTCATGAGCAAAATAAACTCTAGTTTCCAAGAGTCGGTGTCTTTTTTCTCTTTTTTTCACAAATGAAGAATGCAGGCCCTTCATTTGCTCATAGATGTCTCTTCCTACTATTGATTTGGTATACTCCCTTCCTCCAAACGAGGCCTACCAGGATGGATAACCAATGGACAACAGTGGCCTTTTTATTACTGTAGAAATCAGAAAAGAGCTTATTGTTCTGGTTGTCCAAGTCTCATGGGTCATATAAGAAAAAGTCTAAAGGTTTTGGAGAAAGCCAGCTACTTTCTATGACTCTGAGATGTTTGAAAGTTAAAGAAGCATGTTTCTTTTAACTGAAAAGAGAAAAATCCATATTTTCAACTTTAAATAAAATGTCACAGCAAATTTTCATAAGTGATCTCTTTGTATCCACAAAATAAATTAAAACTGCAAATATTATGCAAATTTGAAATTCTCCTAAATTTTTAGTATTTTTAATAAGGAAAAGGGGAGGAACACTCAAGTTTTTTTTTCCTTGATGTTGAAGACATAAAAACTCACAGACATCCTACATCTCTGAATATTAACACAGTTCTGCTAAAAGCAATATGCAGTGCTAGAAAGAAAGGCATCTTAGGTTTTACATATTCTATATGAAATGTTAAAACAATAAAATGATTATAGAAAGAACAGGTAGACTTTCTGTGGAAATAAATCCATTATGATGCTATCAGCTATATTTGTTTGCAAAGCAGAGGGCAATGGTAATAAAAATAATTATTCATATAATCAAGATTTACCAAGCCCTTATTATATGTATAATATAGTAAGGATTATAAAGGTGGATACGATGGATTTCTTTCCACTAACTATGCAATATTTATAAGACATACCTAGTATCTAGTAATAATACCAAATAAATGTTTGGGAAGCACCAAAGAGACTTGAAAAGAGCTACAGCAGAGTTCACATTCTGGTGGGTGAGTGTTCAGGAATCTTCGTGGAATAAGTCCTTATACTTGTATGTAGTTGCAAATTTTTTGAGGCTTTTCATATTAATATGTTACAAGTCCCATAATACAGATGGCAAAGTTGAGGTTCTGAAAGATTAGGTGACTTGATTTCAACCCAGCTCCTGCCTTTTAAAAAAGTAACAGTAAACAGTAAATACGTGCCAGGCAACACTCTGCACAATTCAGACACATTCACAACCCTGTGAGGGTAAATCCTATAATCCCCATTTTGCAGATGAGAAAACTAAGCTTTCAGAAAGATTTGGTATGTTTCTAGTTTCACACAGCTAGTGAATGGTGGAGCCCTGCTTTGAACTCAGGTGTTTGCTTTTGTTCTAACAGACTCCCATCCCAGGTTAGTTCACACAGCCCAGGCTGCTCCTAATGTGTTCACACTCTTTCCTGAGCCTTTCCCTTCTGGGAAAAAGACTTGAAGAATAGAAATGGAAGTAGGTTCCTTCTGCAAAGGAAACACCATAAAGCAGTCTACTGTCGCTCAGAAAGTACAAGGCTTTGTTGGAGGCACAGTGA